CAAAGGAATAACTGTTTATCCAAACTCAAATACTTACTTTATACCTCCAGGAGGACATACCTCTCCTGGGGATATTAGCATAGATAAGATAAGATGTACGAGAAGTAAAAACATGACAATGCAACCTTTAAACACTAATATAAACAACAGCTAGACATCTAGACAAGTCTTGTTAGTATAGCTAATAGTCACAGGAATTCCCCACCCTGCTTCCCTTCTCTATGTGATGGAAAACATGTCCACAAAAAGTCTTAATTAGCAATGTTGTGCACACCAGAATGCCCAGAAACTGTTCCACAGCCCCAGATACATAAAGTACATTACACCACTTTTACCTACATGTCCCACCCCAGATCCAGCTCAGATCTAGGTTACCAAGTGGCACATCTTCGGCAGAAATAATATAAAAAGGTAAAAATATAAGTTGGTAGTAGCCAGGGCGAAATGAGGACCAACTGGGGCAAGATAAGAAATATACCCAAGAAGAGTTCCATATCTCCATCTGGTGAATGTTTGTCTGCATGATTAATCCAACACAATGTTCCCACAGATGCACCACTCTTCTGGGGACTTCCTGGGCACATAATCCCAGTAGATACTCCCGGCCAGTCAAAGGGTTTCAGAACCCAGCTCTCCTCCATGCTCCATCCAGAAGAAGCAGACAAAATCCCTGGTGGTCTCCTCTATTGGCCATAATCAGCGGGTGGAAGACAAGCCCATAGTCCCTTCCAAAAGCCCCTGTCCTGGTTGGGTCTGTCAATCAAGCACCTAGGAATGCAGACTGCTTCTACAAACATTTGTGAAAGAATGGGTCGCTCTCAGGAGCTCAGTGAATTCCAGCATGGTACCATGATAGGTTGCCACCTGTGCAATAAGTCTGTCTGTGAAATTTCATTGCTACTAAATATTTTACAGTCAACTGTTAGTGGTATTATAACAAAGTGGAAGTAATTGGGAACAACAGCAACTCAGCCATGATGTGGTAGACCACGTAAAATGACAGAGCGAATTCAGCGCATACTGAAGCACACAGTGCACAAAAGTCGCCAACTATCTGCAAGTCAATAGCTAAAGATCTCTAAACTTCATGTGGTCTTCAATTTAGCATAACAACAGTGCACAGAGAGCTTCATGAAATGGGTTTTCGTGGCCAAGAAGCTGCATCCAAGCCCTACATCACCAAGTGCAATGCAAAATATTGGATGCAGTGGTATAAAGCATGCCACCACCGGACTCTAGAGCAGTGGAGGTGTGTTGTCTGGAGTGATGAATCACTCTTCTCTGTCTGGCAATCCGATGGATATGTCTGAGTTTGGCCATTGCCAGGAGAATGGTACTTGACGAGCTGCATTATGCCAAGTGTAAAGTTTGGAGGAGGGGGTATTATGGTGTGGGGTTGTTTTTCAGGGGTTGGGCTTGGCCCCTTAGTTCCAGTGAAGGGAACTCTTAAGGCATCTGCATACCAAGACATTTTGGACAATTTCATGCTCCCAACTTTGTGGAAACAGTTTGTGGATGGCCCCTTCCTGTTCCAACATGACTGCTCATCTCTGCACAAATCAAGGTCCATAAAGACATGAATGAGCGAGTTTGGGGTGGAGGAACGTGGCTGGCCTGCACAGAGACCTGACCTCAACCTGATAGAACACCTTTGAGATGAATTAAAGCAGAGACTACAAGCCAGGCCTTCTCGTTCGACATTAATGCCTGACCTCACAAATGCACTTCTGGAAGAATGATCAAACATTCCCATAGACACACTCCTAAACCTTGAGGACAGCCTTCCCAGAAGAGTTGAAGCTGTTATAGCTGCAAAGGGTGGGCCAACTCAATACTGAACCCTACGGACTAAGACTGGGATGCCATTAAAGTTCATGCGTGTGTAAAGGCAGGTGTCCCAATACATTTGGCAATATAGTGTATATATTATACACTATATACATATATATTATTGGAAGCCATGGACACATGGGGAGACCATGCTAAGATATATTTTATCATTAGGAAAGAGGTTGGTTGGAAAATCTATTAGGCCTGTTATAGCTGGCATGCATGTATTTAATAATTTATGCCATATAGAATAAAGTGGGGCAGCTCAGTGGTCAGTAATTGACAATGCAATAGTCCTGATTAGATGTTGACCAAACATTTGTAGAATGGAGTTTCAGGGTTATTGCAGTGTTTCATCCAGGTGCCCTGGATTCCTCGTATGCCTCAACAACCTTTTAATAGGTTACCCTTTAAGGTCCTTGTGAGCATGCACTGATGTGATATGTTACATGACTGATACCTAGTTACTATACTGGGTAAATTAATGTAATTCTTGACAACTCTGTGGTGTCCTTGAAGAGCATCCTCTCCTATTGTAAATGATAGAGAATGTCAGTATATACAGATATTTTATTTATTTATTAAATGGATTACATGAATAGTCATTTAAGTGTATCTATAGTAAAAATTTAAAATTATTATACTCTTTTACACATTAAAAAATTCAAAATAAACAGCAGAGGTGAAGCTGCAAAGCATGCAGGCAATCCTGGAAGTTGTGGAAATAGATGACCAGCAGACAGGCAGAACTCACAGCATGAAATAAGTTTTTTCAAGATAGCTTATATTGGATTGTCATATATAACTATTGTTTGAATTACTGTTATAATTCTGTTGTTATAAAATGAAAGTGCAAGTGTTTCAAGATTCTGCATTGGCTGTTCTACAAATAATTTCTATATGGATAGTTCTTTTTTTTTTTTTTTCATAAAATGTTGGACTAGTTTTGGACATGTGTAGTCTAGAACTACATGATGTATGTATGGCATAAGAGGCTGACCATTTGGAAACTCGGGCACTGCCCGAGGGCCCGGGGTCAGTGGGGGGCCCCATGAGATGCCCCTGGTACCTTTTTCATAGGCTTTTTTGAGTTTGGGCAAGGACACAGGGGCCCCATGATCCCCTATTGCCCGGGGCCCCATGAGTTTGTCAGTCTGCCCCGAGGCATACTATTTATGCAAAAAGTTTTTACTTAAATATATTCTATTTAAACATTAACTTTGCAATCATTAAACTGATGTCATGAAAGTCCCATAATAAAAGTTTTATATTGGCAAGTGTTATATTAGAATTCACAACAGTAGTTAAATATCACCCCTTGACCCATGGAAAGCATGGTGGTTACCCCCGAAGACGGGTGGGCTGGTATTTCACCTTAGGGGTTGATTACTTAGGCAATAGTGGGACATGGACAATTGAGCACCAGTCACTTTAAGGTATATCAAAAGGGGTTTATTTCTTACTTTCACACTCCTAGGAGAGAATTAAATGCACAGGATACTCATGATTTACTAGACTCCACAAAAGGGAATCACGATAATTATAGTCATCACAGATAGAGACCCCTGAAGCGAGGTTGCATTCTGTGATTGTAACACTCCTGATTGTAAGGTACTTGAAAAATCTGCTCCGGCACCCTGGAGAGAATACTCCATATTCCAGTGGGGTCCAAGCTCCACATTCGAGCTTTTTTCTGGCCCCTCGTCACATCTGGAGGTCTTCTATGGTTCCTCAATCCCCAGGGTCCACAGGCTAGGCCTCAAATCCAGGCCACTGTACAGCCACATGATTATCAGGGAGAAGACCCAAGACACACCCCTGCCCATGGCAGGAGGCCCAGGGAAGAACAGAATGTTTTCCAAGGGTCATTCACTGAATATTTATCCTCTCCCAGTATGCACCAGTGGCAAGGAAACTCCTACTGGTTGGCCAAGAAGAGATACGTATTCATAACTCTTATTAGTGGAGCTCTTATGCTTTTCTCAGAGGCAGCAGTTCCACCTACTGGCATTAGAAAGACACATGCAGTAATCAGGGCCCAGAAGAAACCTAAGACAGCTAAACTATCAACTCAAGCTAAGCTGACTTAAGCTTAGCACCACTAAATTTAGAAGAGACTCCTAATCAAGGCAGGGAGGCTACAGTTATCTACAGTATTTTCAAGCAATGCTGTCTCTCATTGCAACCTTCGTCAGAACCAGAAAAAGGGGTTGTGAGACAGAAGCTTTACTACTGTTACGTATTCACTTATGGAAATTTCAGCTTGAGCTATTGACCCCTGTAAAGTACAAACTTATTAGGGCAGAGTGGAAATGGAGTTCTTGTGCAAATGCACCAAAATCTTAAATTGCTTGCTCAGAAAGAGAATACTATATGTTTTTTTATGCTATATTTCATATTTATGTTAATAATAATAAAAATGTCAATATTCCATTTCTAACCATAGATATTAAATAAAATATATATAAAACAACTATACATGAAATGAGTAGCTACCTGCAAAGCAGACACGTAATACTTACCTGTTACTGTATCATGTAGTGATGTAGAGGTTGGCAGATAGAACCACAAAGTGTAGTGGGGATGTCTGCATTCGATACTGCCGAAACTGTTAAATGTAAATGTAGATCTTTTAGCAAGATTATCTCTTCAACTCCATGGATTTTGGTGGCATTAAAAGTGGAACAGGTAATTAATTAGTGTTTACTTTGCAGGGAATTGCTCATTTCAGTTATTATAAATGTCAGTTGGTTTAATAAGTGTTCAAATCTATAAGTCTGTTAAAATGCCCATTGTATAGCAATACCACCTTTACAATTAAGGGCTATGACATAAACAGTCCCTGTTGTAAAATGTCAAAACAGGTGCTTTTAATTATTTGTCACTAGATTTCCTGTAGTGCGCTTTATAAAATTACCTATGCTTCACATTTTGCAAATTTCTTCAACAGGAAAGTGTAGTCTGATCATTACTGTCATTTGTTTGCATCCTAAAAGTCAACATGACATTTTTAAAACCATTATGTACTTTCACCCTTCTCATCTAAAACTTATGTGAATGCCATTTTTATCCCCATCGGGAAAAGGAAACTGTTTTTAGCAAAGAACATGTGCTGCTCATCAAAAAACTGCTATAATATTAACAAGTGCGATCACCACAACTTCACTGACCTCTTGTAAATAGCAGGGAAAGCAGCAAGTAATGCATCTCAGGGGTCTAATAACTGTGATTACTTCCCGGCCAGCATTATTAGAAATGTGCATTTTGAAAGGCCGCACTGGGCCACACAAGTTTTTGTTAAGGTAGATGTTTTCTTCTTTTGCAAAGTAAATTCTTTGTCCAAAGATGTCCTTTATTTCATACTTGTTGCTCTTTTCAGTGCCAAGGAATACTTGATAAACAGAAACAAAGTCATGTTAGCACAGCAATGTCACATCATACATATGACTCAACAATATTTTACTGTACTGCCATTATGTAAGGCATATGGCAATAGAGTAAAACTTTTTGAAGTTGAAGCATATTTAAATACTTTCCAGTTTGAAGTGGGCGGGGCTTCATAAAAAGCTGCAGAGTGTTAAAGTAATTCTAAAGGCCTAAATTAAATAAAAAATAAAATAATGAACACGTCTGTACTTACCTGCTGTGTGCCGTGGTTTTGCACAAAGCAGCCCAGATCCTCCTCTTCTCGGGTCCCTTGCCGGCGTTCATGGCCCCTCCCTTCTGTTGGGTGCCCCCACAGCAAGTAGCTTGCTATGGGCGCACCCGAGCCTATGCACTCACCAGTCGCAGCTCTGTGTGTCCATTCACACGGAGCTGCAGCTCAGCACTGCCCCCTCTCTCTTCTCATTGGCTCACTGACTGTGATTGACAGCACTGGGAGCCAATGGCTCCCGCTGCTGTCTCAGCTAGAGGAGAGGGAGTCCCGGAATAGCCAAGACTCTAGTGGACATCACTGGATCGAGAGGCAGCTTAGGTGAGTATTGGGGGGGCTGGGGGGGGGGATGCTGCACACAAAAGGTTTATTACATTCATGCATAGAATGCATGAAGGTAAAAAACCCTTAATCCTTTACAACCACTTTAAGCAGTATTATCAGACTGACAATTCTGCTGTCCAAAGGTGCCCCTTGTTTCTCATCATCCAGAGTGGAGGCACTCTAATACAGAAAGGGTGTTTTTTGGGCAGATCACCAAGTAAAAACAGAAAGAAAAAAGCCTAAGAAAGAAAACTAATGCAGCCACCACATCTAGGAATTGGTAAGCTGCAATATACTGTATGACATTTCTGACTTTGGGTTTAATACCACTTTAATGTGCATTGAAACCTAGGATTCTTTAACACATGGCACATCGACTCGTCAGCTCAATCTAGTTGCCATAATACAGCATTTTCCTAATTGGGGTCAGCTACAATTATGCAGCTGACAACTGTAGGAAGTCAACATATTACATAATTTATAGGGATTATTTGAAGAGACATTTACACAGCAATTTCTTTTTTAGTAAATAGTCCCTTAAGAATGAAATTCTGGAATCCTGGAGGCTGGAAGTGTCTAACTGGGGGCTGAACTAAATAGAGGCAAAATACCAAAGGCACAAATAATATATGTCAGCACACACATACATTTTCTCAAGTCTTGGGCCCTTTTTAATTGCATGCAAATAATGATTTTTATTCCCTTTTCTAGCCTCTACACTGCTCAACTACTTCAAGAAAGAGTCATTTTAGTAAAACAGTGATCTTCAGAATTCCTCTCCAATGGAAAATTAATTGTTTATAACTTACTCAGCAATATATCACTAATAACATATCAACAATAAAATCTCATATACAAATCTAGTCATCATCAAATGTTTATAGTATGCAAGATTTGTGTATAGGATTTGCCATTGAATTATTAATAGTGATAGAGGGTTACTTGAAGCAATTTCTATTACACATAGACCTCTTCAAAGATAAAGAGATAAAGAATGATTTGGTACTCTTTTGCCTAAAAGGTCCTATTATAGATTGCTAATTTTCCTACAAAGTAAATAACTAGCCAACATATGATTTATCCTGCCAACCCAAATTTAGAATAACATAACAGAAGTTAATAGTATCACTTGAATCTACTCTAGGATCCTATAAGAATTATGCTTGGAGTAGAATTTTAGAACCATTTGTAGCCACACACACACACACATTTAGTCTTTCTTCAATTCTAATGGTGAAAAGTTGGAGCCTCTTTCATGTTCCTATTGTTCTAGTGTGTTGGGACCTACATCAAAGTTGAGAGTAACTTGGACTTCCCCTTTATGATGTTTCCCATAGACATGTGCACTCCGGAAATTTTTGTTTTGTTTCCTTTCAGATGCATTTGTTAATTGAAGAATTTCATTTTGTCATATTCATTATGCTGAACCAATTTGTTTTCAGAATTAATTTTGTATCTTCGGCTTTCGGTTCATATATTCATAGGTCCAGGTGGATTTGAAAAATGTTGTAATCTTTCCAGAAGAATGCTATATATTCGATACAGTATATTATCAGACCGGACAGATTCAATATTTTCAGATGCTAGTCCATCCCACCAAGAGAAATTGACATGAGCTGATTGGACAATATTGACTGGTGTCATGTGTATCTGAATTAATAATCAGAATGAAATTCAGATCCATTCATTATCCTAATCCAAATTATGGAAAAAATGTGAAAATGTTAATAATTTCCCGTAGGCGCAAACTATTATCGCTTGATGGGACGTCATCCAAATGAAACAAATGAAAGGAATGCGTTTGTTAATTTAGTTATAACTTTTTTCAGTGATAGTCACCAGGTGACAGTGGGCAGGTAGAGAAGTCAAGTCTCCCCAACATGGTCCCAGATAGAATTAAAATATGACAGAGGTTCTAATCCTTTTCCACTTTATCCAAAACTATAAAAACAACATTGGATTTAAAGGGTTAACTGTACATACTGATCAATGCTAAATGCTTTGGAAATTTACAGTGCATGTGTGTTAATTTGTAAGTACTGAAGATTTGATTTTGCAAACAATTTAAAGCAGAACTGTTTGATTCTGCAAGGTTCCATCTTCAGTGTGGGCATCTGAAGCCCACTCGGACATTCTTCCGGGAAATGGTGCTGCTGCGCAGTGTGAAGAAGGTGTGGAGACTTCCTTGTATTGAAGGATGCCATAGCAATGGCGGTGTCAGTGGAAGTTCCCGCCCCTTTGCTATGACAACCGTCAATCAATGAAGCAACCCAAAAAGGGAGCAAGTCAGTCTTCCCTGCTGCCCATTGATTCCTGGGTTTGATGACACATATATCCCATGGACCAATGAGTGGGTGAATATGACGTACCTGGCCGTGGCAAGGTACATGGGTGGCACAGTGGCTTAGTGGTTAGCACATCTGCCTTGCAGTAAATGAGTCATGGGTTCGATTCCCGACCATGGTGCCTCCTGCATGGAGTTTGCATGTTCTCCCTGTGCTTGTGTGGGTTTCCTCCGGGTGCTCCCATTTCCTCCCACACTCCAAAGACATGTTGGTAGGTGAATTGGCTCCTGTCTAAATTGGCCCTAATATGTGTATGTATGAATGTAAATTAGGGACCTTAGATTGTACTCCCCTTGAGGGTTAGGGACTGATGTGAATGTTCAATATATATGTGTAAAGGACTGCGTAAATTGACAGTGCTATATAAGTACCTGAAATAAATAAATAAATAAATAAATAGGAAGTAAAACACTTAAGCCCAAATAAAGGTATGAAAACATTGAAAAAAAGTGCCAAACATTGATGGGGCAGCAAGAAAGAGATAGGGACAAACTTTAAAAATCAGGTGGAACTCTGCTTTAAATATTAACATACATATGTAGGGCTTCTGTAACTACAACCACTGCAAAGCGGTTCATCCTTAAAATTTACAGCAAAAGCTCCTAAATTTTACCTTTTTTTTATATATATAAGCATCGTAATTTCTAATTTATCTCCTAGATTGTAAATTCCAAGGAGCAGGGCCCTCCTATCCCTCTTGTATTGAACTGTATTGTCTCCTGTTATATTGTAAAGCGTTGAGCAAACTGTTGGTGCTATATAAATCCTGTATTATTATAATAATAATTTGAAAACAATACAGGTGCAGTGAAAGAGGGTAGAGAGCAAAGTGTTGTGACCTGACTTTTAATTGTGTTTGATTAATTGTTCCACACGACCCATAACTACAGATGCCATTGAGGGCTTGTTTTACAGCTGATGCAAGAATTGAATAAGAATATGTAAAAAAATAGGCTGGTCATAGTTTTCCATTAAAGTGTTTGTAGAGTATTTTTAGGTGGAATGTCAGATGCTCTTGTCTCCTATGCTTCACCAGAGTTTGCAATAAAATTAAGGGGCAGACACCACTGAATGTTTTATTATACTAAAAGTGAACTATAGTGTGTTCTGTGTAAGCCAACTTAAAATTAGATAAAGCCACTGTTAATAGATTAGTTAGTTAGTTAGTTATTTAACTATATCATAGTTGCCAGTACAGTTATAATTGCACTTGATTCAATAAATGTGGCTCTTACTTCTAGTAATTGCTTTAACCTACAGTTTACTTCGTGCTGTTCCTCCAATCACTATGTAATTTAAGATCAAGCTATTGGGTAAATTACTCAAACAATATTTAAATTCTTTATACAGTATGGAGCTGAACTAAAACAATAATGCGAGTGATGAGCGGAGCATTAAAATGAAGAATCATGTAGAATCCATCATTGAATATAATTTTAAATACAAAATAAGTATCCTACGGTGATCGATTAAGCTTGAACATATTTTGTTTTTTCTCCCACCAATCCACTCAATACCTGATTTTGTACTTTAAATTTTCGTGCAAGCCATTAAATATTGCAGTCATTGCAAAAAGAAAAAAAAGAAAGCACTAAAGGAATGGAAGTTTGTATAGCCATAGGCAAGATTATCCACGTGGAGTCAGTTGCAAGCTGGGCTTGTTCTCCTGTGGGGTCCTTTAGCTATGTTGTTTAATACTTGTCTCCTACTAAGACTCAAGCCTTAATTGAATTCAAGACAAAATGCCCTTTTGTTAAATCTCACTGTCATCATTCACATACATTATCTTTTTCAAATTCTTTCTAGACCTCTTGTAGCTAATTGGTGGCAGTTTTCCTGTAAATACAACTTGTACCGAGGCAGGAGTGAAAATCATGAAAAGCATCACTAAGTGTCACAGTTCCTTTTATATGCTGAAAGATGTACAGTGATCCAAAAA